TCTACACTCAAAATTAAGCTTTTTGCCATTTTATAATAATTAAAAAATATAAAAAGATTTTAAAAATAAAATATCATAACAGATGGTGCCATAGTTTTAAGTGTTACCAGGAAAGTGAAACAACTTGTTGTGGGATTTTTTTTAAGTTTTACTATCTCTGAAAATAGGCTGCATTTTAGATACTAATTACAATATATTAAATTGAAACATCTTGTGCCAAGTCTCTTAGTCACTAATTCCATTGTATCATTTTAATGATTTTAGTAGAACAACATGCATAATAGTAAATGTTTGAGGGGAACCTAGCTCAAACTTGTTAGTATATTTCAGTAATGGTGTACTACTTGGGCAAAAATCACAGGAAAAATTCTGCAGCACTCTTTCAAGAAATGTTGTATTTTGGATGCTGTTAACAGTACTGAGGATGATTTCATGTGGAAAAATGTGAGCATGAAATTCTGTGAGGATCGGAAGAACCTGATGCACAAAGTGAAAAGGTTTCTGCTTCAATACTACAGAATATATACAATGATATATAATTTACTTTAGACAACAAGACAAATTTATTGCAAGTATTTTTTAAAAAAGTATCTATGGGTGTGCATTTAATAATTAAGGTGTCTTATATTCAAGTATATACAATACATTCCATTAATGAAAACATATATTTTGATTGTTAATTTTTCATTTAAGTTCCTTAACACAAAACTAACCATTATTAAACCAAATATTAAATGTTTTCCCAAGCATTTTTGAGTCCCCATAACCTGTCTTCAGAGATACCAATGTAACAGTAAATATTACAGTACATTTATTTTTTTATTTATTTATTTATTTAAGCATTCTGGTTTACAAAACCCTGATGCGGGGATAGAACAAAAAACAAAACATATACATAACCTTACAAAAAAATAAATATATACATATTCCACAAATATAACCAACAATGACAACAACATATTATATTAATAAAAAATTCCACAAAACTTAAAGAACTACTTAAAGAACTACTTGGGAGAACTATCCGAATCTAATTAAGAAATACCTAGGTTAAACTTACCTAGAAAAGAAAAAAACAGTACGTTATAACACGTTCCAAAAAAGTCGGATAGTCTCCCAAGCAGTCCAAACAACCACAGGATTAAATACAGTAATAGGCAGACCACGCCCCAAGACAAAATTTACATAAATAATCACGACTTGCGCTTTAAGTCTAAAAACAATAAAAAGAAAATCAAAATCATATATATATATTGTACTTATTATAAAATAAACAATTTAACCTTTTTTATAAAAATAAATACCTTAAAAAATAAATCAAAATCAGAAATAACTTTTTTAAACTGATTAAATGAGAAACAGGGAACCCCAAATGTGTCCTCACGTAATTTTGACAAAAAACTACAAACAGCAATAATATGAAACGCATCCAATGGCGAGTCAGCCACACCACATATGCAACTCTCCCTTCTGAAATTACATAAAAAGTTTAATGAATTACATCTTACTTGCATTAATACGGTCATGACATTAGAAGAAAAATTACTATTATAAATAAAACTATCAAAAAAGGGTTTATTTAGACTCTTATACCACTCACAATAAGAACTTAAAAAAATACTATGATTCAACTTCAAAATATAATTATCAAACTTATTTAACTTTAATAGATAGACACTGTTAACATCTTGTAACAAATAATCAAAATTAATTCCATTCCTTGAACAATTAGACAACAAATATTTCGACCAAGATAACTTAGATTGTTTCAAAGCAAAACACAAACAAATCTTACTAAGACGTTCATCGTTTAAACTCAACGTTCTAAAAATCCAATTAACACATCTATTCAAGATCAAACAAGATAAAGGGATCAATGAACACTCCATAGATACTAAATAACCAGGAGTACACCTTGGAAGCCCGTACATTCTCTTAACAAAAGTAACTAATATTGTATCCAAGCTTTCCGCCTGAAATCCCCACACCTCGGAAGCATAAAGAAGAGATGAACCCACCACAGCGTTAAATAACCTTAATCGATCTTTCAAATTACACAACTTAGCAGACTGACACATATGCATAACTTTATCCATTTTTATCTCTGCATTAATTTTACAGGACCTCACATGAGTATTAAAATATCCATTACTTTTAAAAATTACACCTAAATACTTATATTGTGATACAACCGAAATTGGAACACCTCGGAACCACCATTTATCAGCCTTAGAAGCCTTACCCCCATTCCGAAAGACCACAATTTTGGATTTTGCAAGATTTAATTGCAAACTATTATCCTTTAAATATTTATCCAGAAGGTCAATCGACCTTTGCAACGACCTCGGAGAATCTGCCACAATTACCACGTCATCCGCATACGCTAATATCTTAATCGAAACACCGCCAACAACTATTCCATCACCGCCGGAATCATCAATACAATTCAAAAAATCATTTAAAAATAAACTAAAAAGAATAGGGCTTAGAATGCAACCCTGTTTAACACCCTTATCAGAAAAGAAAGGCTGAGAACAACAATTCCTCCATTTAATCTTAACGTTTGAGCCACTATATAACTCTGCCAATAAAGATACAAACTTAAAACTTAAACCAAGCTTTAATAATTTCCTCCATAATAAATTCCTATCAACAGAATCAAATGCTGATGCCAAATCTATAAAAAAAGCATAAACCTTACGCCGTTTCCTGTTTAATGTCTTAGCAATAACAGTATACAGAATAAAAATGTTATCAACAGTCGAGTAGCCTGTACGAAAGCCAGCCTGACTCTCTGATAAAATATCTCTCATACTCAACCAACTTATTAACCGATAATACAAAACTCTACAAAAAATCTTAGAAACACAGCATAACAACGAGATACCTCTATAATTTGTAAGAACTGATCTTGAGCCACCCTTAGGCACTGGAACCAATAAAGAACTCTTCCATTCATCAGGAACAACACCAGTTCTCAAAACCTTATTAAAATTATCTAATAAACAAAAAAAAGCACTATCAATTTTCCAAAATTCAGTAGGAATACCATCTATTCCCGGAGCACCACCAACACTCGACTTACTTAAAACAGTTCTTAATTCCTCCTCCGAAATATAAGAATCCAATATTTCGTTCGACCAAGTCACACAATCATTAAAAACCACTAAATCAACATTATATGGACTCTCAGAGCCATAAAGGGAGAAAAAATAACCAAACCAATCAAGTAAACTAATATTTACCCTAACACAATTTCCTCTTGCTCTACATAAATTCCAAAATAATCTATTATTTTTATAAAAGCTTTTAACACTTTTTAACCTTTTACAAAATTCTTTCTTCTTTGCCAAACATAATTTCTTTACCAAGCTCCGGTACAATACAAAAACTCTCCTCTGAGCCGCCAAACCATTTTTTTTAAACTCTAACCAAGCTCTGTTTCTAGCTCTAATCATTAGTCGACAATCCAAGTCAAACCAATCATCAATTCCAACCATAGTCTTTTTCCTTTGAGTCAATCCTTTCACTTTAGCCAAATCCAATATCACCTTGCTGAGCTCCAACAAAGATAAATTAGGGGTCTGTTCCAAGCAGCACCTCAAACCAGCTGACAACGATTCCAACTGATCCATATCCCAGAAAATCCTCTGATAACAAGTACCAGAACCACCCAAAGAATCTGTGGTACAATCTTCCAAATAAAGTACAATTGGGCAGTGATCAGACCAAAAACAACTCTCTACTCTAAAGCATTTAATACAATTCCACACAGAAGGAGTAACTATTCCCAAGTCAATTACCGAGGATCCTCGGTTAGAAACAAAGGTAAACTCTCCCGCTTCATCACCCGAAGCTCGTCCATTTAGAATTATTAAATCATTATCCGCACAATACTCCAGAACTTTCCATCCTTTCACATTCATATTTACATCCTTGGAAGCTCTATTTCTCTTATTAACAGTAATACCTCTGCAATCACTTATACTTGTCGAAATTATATTATGGTCACCAATCCGTGCATTAAAATCACCCAACCAAATCCAATTAGAATCGTCGATCTCAAACCTGGACAATACATCAAAAATTTCTTGCCATCTTTGTTCCTGTATATAAACAAAACAAATATTAAACTCTCCTAACGGTAACAAAATGTTAATCAGTATAATATAACTATCTCTATAAATAATGCTAAATTTCAAAGAAGATTTAATGCACAGCAACCAACCAGCCATAGGTCTACCTCTATTGTGAACCCTCAAAGCATCACCAACAATACAATGATATTCTCTTAATTCCTCCCAGTAACATCTACCCCTACCTTTAACAAACCATGTTTCCGATAAAAAAACCACGTCATACTTCAATAAATAACTCCAGAAGGACCGCGGTTTATTACCAATCCCAGCACAATTCCACGCCATAATAGAAAACACAGAAGTCATTGGTAGTTGCTATGAAATCGGCACCACCTTGGCCGATACTTCATCATATTTATACCGAACTCCATCTACCAATAACTTATCATAGCTTAACCGAACATTCCTTGCTCCTTCCTCCCTTTTTTTCTTTCCAAAAATCCTTAGGTTGTATCTAATATCCCTTAAACGTTTAGAAAAATCATCATACACAGCAACATTAAGATTCCGATTTTCAAATACAGCCTTTTTAAATTTTAATTTATCACTAAAAGACCCAAATTGACAAATCACTGGTCTAGGTTTATCTCCAATTCTTTTCCCAATCCGATGCACATTTACAAAATGTAACGCGGATAAATTCAAAGTATTAACCGCAAAAGAACTAACAGTATCAAATATTTCCAGAGACGACTCCTCTTTCCTCTCTTCCAATCCGTGAATAACCACATTGTTCATCCTTCTCTGATTGTCCATCGCATCCAGTTCCCTCTCAAAAAAGGACAATTTCGTAAAAATTTTATCCATATCCCCCGAATGTCCGACACCGATCACATCCCCTCCAACCTTTGCCTCAACCTCCCCCAACCTCACCTCAAAATCAATCAACGCCTCATCTACATTCTTGAGCCACTCTGTCAAGTGATCCAGTCTTCTAATAAATTCATCCACCTTACCATTCAACGAGACATGCAATCGCAATAGAAGCCTAACTCCCTCTGCCACATCAAAATTAGAATCCTGTAATAAATTCGCAATATCCTCTTCACCAGCAGAAGTCTCACCCCTAAACCTAGCTGTTGCTCTTTCCGGAACGGTTGGAGAAAATGTCTTCCGCTTCCGAGCCTGGGACATATTTATAAACAAAACTTACCTAGAAAAGAAAAAACAGTACGTTATAACACGTTCCAAAAAAGTCGGATAGTCTCCCAAGCAGTCCAAACAACCACAGGATTAAATACAGTAATAGGCAGACCACGCCCCAAGACAAAATTTACATAAATAATCACGACTTGCGCTTTAAGTCTTAAAAAATAAATCAAAATCAGAAATAACTTTTTTAAACTGATTAAATGAAAAACAGGGAACCCCAAATGTGTCCTCACGTAATTTTGACAAAAAACTACAAACAGCAATAATATGAAACGCATCCAATGGCGAGTCAGCCACACCACATATGCAACTCTCCCTTCTAGAAAAGAAAAAACAGTACGTTATAACACGTTCCAAAAAAGTCGGATAGTCTCCCCTATTACAGTACATAACAGACAAAATTTAACTACACAGGAGTAATCTCTGACTGTTGCACACTTTATTTGCTGATGTGTGTGAAGGTAGTTTATGGAAAACTGAAAGCATTTTGAATAGTAAACTCTGAAAAGGCAGTTAATGAATATTTATGAACTTTCTATTTGTTTAAAAATAAAATAACAAAAAATATCTGGAGTAGTTTTGCAAGGTTCTTTTAATATTTATTTATCAAATTTATTTCAATAAAAAATTTTTACATGTAATATTTTGTAGTATTAAATAGATTTTATTACACATTAGTCATAAAAACAACAGGCCAAAATTTGTATCATTAAGATAAAAATGAATTTTTTTAATTAACCTTATCTAGCTAAGTGATTTAATAACATATTTTAAAAATTATTGATAAAACTAAAATTTTATCAATTATGCTACTAGATGTATTTATTCCTTAAAATAAAATTCCCAATTAAAACATCTGTGTACATTCAAGGTTACTGTGATTTAAAGATATTCTCTTTGTACAAACAGATGTGATATCAACAAACAGCATATGTGATTTGTATAAGCAGATGCATCATATTGAAGAGAGAAATTAGGTAAACAATGACAATGAAATACTATATTTATACCAACAATTAAACATTATATTTAAGATAATAAATTCTAATGGGAATTATTTATATACATAAAGATTTATTTAAATTCTTGAAAAAAGTTCATAATTTTTGTTTATAAATATCTTAATTCATTGGCACCATAAACATTTTATATGAGGAGTGTCTAGCATTTATTCTAGACACTCCTCATATAAAATGGGGAGTGTAACTTTGGTAAGCTAGAAGTATGCTAATGGGGAGTATCAGCTGTAACTTTAATAGTATCAGCTCTAGGGACCAAGATACAGCTATTAAAAGCATGGTACGAAATGTCATTATAACATGGGTGACATAGTATGGCATAATAGTGCATGTCTTATACTGGCCTGTTCAAATTGAATTCTACACATGCATTTTATTCAATGCATTCCAATTTGAAATGAATGCTATAAAACTGAAGCTGGAATCAGGTGGATTCTGAAAACATTTGAGAATTGCTACATCTTACAAGTTTTCCTAGAAGCTAAGGAGGTTTAGTGGTCTGAAAATATTACATGTTTCTAGTGCTAGTGCATTTTTTGATGAAATTTAGAATATATTTTTAGTTATAAATAAACGAATTTGTGCATTCGATGACATGTTGTAAATTGCCAAATTTTTGAAGGTCCACCCATTATTTTTTGATTGCTTCATCTCATGCATTTAAATTTTAAATTGACCGATTTTAGATTGCTGCACGTACCCTTTCATGCAATTTCTCGTACCCCCAGTGGTATGCATACCACTAATTGGGAACCATTGTAGTAGAGAGTACAACTCATGCTGTATGTAATACAATTGTAACACAATGTTAAGTATTTATTGTATGTATTAATTAATAAACATAGAAAAGATGCAGGTAGCTACAAATTTATTGGCTTCATTATAATGTTATTGGACTTGTTGTATATACAGTCTATCATTAAGCAGCATACACCTGTAATTATAATTTATCATTTATATTTTGCTTTATATTAGTTTATTACTTAAAAATTTTATTAATGATTAATTGTGGAACAAATTTTAATTTTATTCATAAAATCTATTTTTATTCATAAAATAAATTATTCATAAATATATAAAATAAATTTTTATATATTTTTTCTAAATAAATTTAAACTCTGTATTTTACTTTAATTTTAGGGAAAACGTCAGTTAGTTAGTCTGTTAATTGTAATTCTGAATCTTGTAACATGTGTTGGATTTGTGTACTTAGTTTTGGCAGAAGATAATCTTCCTTATGCGTAAGTATGGTAATTTTCTTTTTATTAAAATATTTTTTCAATAAAATTGATTTTTTTTTTTGCTATTATTTTTTCAATATTCTTAATGTATGAATTATTTAAATTCAAATGTTCAAAGTTCTCCTCATATATAAGTCTGTATTAATGAGATGTAATCTTTTATGTATTATTAGACTATTTTTAGCATTGTATAATTACAGTCAATTTATAAATTATGATTAATTTATGTTATATTGTTAAAAATCCATTGCAAATAATAATCAGAGAGAAAAATGGAAAATGACAGTCATTAATACAGATTGAGAATTTTATAAATTTGTTACATCCCTTTTTTTTATTCTCTTCCCATATAGTCATGCTGTCTTTTTATAGTAGATTTTTTTGCATTCACATATGATCAGTTACATTCTGTTGTCCTAGTTTTATCTTAGCACTAAACTGGCATTATATTAAAAAATTCTTTTCTTCTTTTAGCAGGTTCTAAAAAATCAGAGTAAAGTAGTAGTAATAAAGATATTTAGCAAAAATAAATAAATTTGAGTTGTTTAGTAAAGTCTTTGCATTGTGACTAATTACCTTTTATGACTAATAAATTTTCCATTATGATTACCACAAATCCTTCACCTAATCTCCCATGGGTGATTAAATGAAACATTTTGCAATAAAATATAGTTTCCACTGTACAGTTTTGTTCAGCAAAATAGATTCTTACAGGCCATTGCCTAGCAATAATCCATTTATGGACATTGAAATCATGATTATGGATAGACATCATTGAACAAAAGCCAATAAGAAATGTTTTCATTCAGCATTATGATTGCTTGCAACAAAAGCCTAATTGAACTGATTGGAAAAAAAATGTATTTTTATATGATTGATCTTTGAGATGAAACTTCCACATAATCACTCATGAGTAATTAAGTGAGCAGTGGGTGATTATGTGGAAGTTTTATTAATTTTACTCCTGTCTATTACAGAATGATGAAATGAATACTTGATCACATTAGACATTTTTTCATTACGTATTCTGTGCAATAGCAGACGAGATTAAATTACCAACAATTTCTAATTCTTCTGAAATTTTTGTTCATATATTATTATTATTATTTTTTTTTTTAATTTTAGCATGATATTCTCTCTAAGAGCCACTGTAGCAAAATGGATTTTTTTTCTCACCAGCTCAATAAGGTGTTTCTTGCAAGCTGTCATAACTTTTGAACAGAAAATGTTTCATATTGGATGTGGTTTCATGACATCTATCAGTAAGTATGATTTTGATGTCTGTAAATGGATCATTGCTAGGCAACAGTCTATATGTAAGCATTTTGCTGGATGAAATTGTATAGTGAAAAACTATTCTTTATGGTACTATGGTATCAAAAGATTAATGTTTCACTTAATTATCCATGGGTGTTTAAGTGAGCAATGGGCAGTTAAGTGTCTCTGTTTACATAGATGATTAAGTGATGATTTATGATATATAAAATGCCATATATATTATTTCATGATAATTTTTATGCAATAATATGTATTTCAAAGTTAACCTGTGACATTGAGTCAATGGAAAATTACTTTACAACATTTTACAATAGTTTACATGTAATATGCAGTTTACAATAGTTTAATTGGTTTTTCAGGAATGCGGAAGTTTGCACAAATGCAGAAGTTTATTATTTATATAATTTAACTCGTCTAATAAAAATGTATGCAATACAATTTCAATTATGTTGGTTAAATTATTAAATAAAAATTTGTCTATTGTTGAAATTTGTTTATGTAGATGGATAAGAAATAACTTAGTGATCATTTTCTATATCAAAAATTTGATGACATTCTTATGTTCGTATTACAAACTATATAAGCTTTCTGAAGTATTGTCATGGATGTCAGTCTTTTAATTTTTTTCAATGCATTAACACAACAATTTCTTTAGGTCCCTAATTATTATTGATATTGAAAAGAAATATGAAACTTGCTATTTTAATGAAACAAGGAGTTTTATAAACATCATGTTATGTTACATGTTATTACTAATAATACAAGTAATATAATGTCATATTGATGTAGTGTGTTGTATTGTATAAAATAATAGCTATATATAGACATACTTTGCAGTTTAGTACATTGACATAATATGAATGCATTGCCCAAAACTATGAAGAAAAATCAGTACAAATGCAAGAATTTCAGAACTGTTTATTATTAAAGTTGCATTACTTCAAAGAAGGATACTTTAAAAATTAGTCATCATAATTCTTGATTTAAAATATAATTTTTTTATCTTTTAATTTTAAGGGTTTCTACTGCTTTTGTAGAATAATTTTGGAACTTAATCTCCAGAAGTTAAATTTTATATAATGGTATAAAGCAAGCGTGGGCAAGCAAGAGTTCAGTGGGAGCAGAAATATAGGTTTTGCAAAATGCATGGGAGCCACAGTTCTGTACTTTTTTATTCTGTACCACAGTTCTGTACTGCGATTTTATTATATAATATAAATATAATATTAAAAAATATTGAATTTTTTTAATAAACATATTTTCACAAAATTGTGGAAATAAAATTGTAAAAATAGTAATAAAAAGCAGAAATGAACACTTTCAGCAAGAACCGCATATGGCTCTTGGAACCACATTTGCCCATGTCTGGTATAAAGTGTTTCTTCATTACAAAGATTTGGAACTGTAGATAGTTTCAACCAAGGAAAAGGGTAGGCAAATAGGCTGTTAAAATCCTTCTTTTAGGCAGTAAAATAGGCAAAATAGGTAGTATGAATTTTTATTCATGTTTACTCATTACATATTGTAAAACTATTCTATATTCAGCTATTGTATTGACATGTCTTGTATTTAACATACTTTTTATAAACAGAAAAACAAATGTTCAATCATCACATGAATTAATTGGAGCAAGTTTAAAATTGGGAACAAGTTCAATGGGTAAAGAAAATTGTTTTTTTTTCCACTGAATAGGTTACAGATGTTTTTTAACTGTCTTGTAGTCAAGATTTTTCTTCAAAATACTAATCAGTTTTTCATCAAAAGCTGTGAGCTTTTGATGAAAAACTGATTAGTATTTTGATTTGAATGCATTCCAGATATGGAGTCATCAAAAGCTCACAGCTTTTGATGACTCCATACCTGGAATGTATTCAAATTGGAAATTGATCTCTATCTTGTTTTTGTTGAATTGTAGTGTGCCAATCCAGCTGTTTCTAGCTTCTTATTCCTGCTAACTAAAAATGAGAAATGTGCTTTCATGTATATCAATTGGTTGCTTACTTCAGGAACTGCAAATGTTTCTTTTGCAGCTACAATAAACAATGACCTTCACTCATCATGTCAATAATCTGAAAATTTAATACAAAACCTGATGATTTTGTTTATTTTTCAGAAGTTTTGCATGCTGTCAAAAATGACTTTCTTTTTATGCATATTATTTGATAAAAAATTTACAATGAAGATTTCATTGTTTCCTTTTTGCACCCATTCTAAAAGTTTCTGGATTTACTACTGGATATAACTATAATATACAATCTAACAAGTAAGCAGAGCTTCCATATGTTGGAGACATATTTACACTATTTTTATAATCAGTGTCAATGAATGGAATTTTTCTAACCAATCACAGCATGAAATTTAATTGGAATGGTTTAATTTTGAAATTTAATCTTCAAATACAGTAATACCCCGACTTATGCGAACCCGGAGTTACGCGATTTTCAAATCTCGTGGATTTGTCTTTTGTTTGAGCGCCACGCAGCTCTTGATTACTCCCCCCCCCACACACTATTGTTCAGCTTACATGTTCAGATGTGTCGCACGGAATCGACGCATACTTACAATTTATTTTGTGTTATTTATTTCTGTGTTTGTTATATCTACGGAGACTTGAGAGACTCTATATGGTGATTTCTTGTAACCGTGAATGAATCAAAAGATGAGATAAGATTAATGAGAACATTTATTAGCTTACATACATCCGACTTGGATTTTACACAAATTGCAAAATTATAGCCCGACATGCGAATTCGACTTACGCGGTTATCGCTCGGTCCCACCTATCACGTAAGTTCAGGGTATCACTGTATTTATAATTGATATTTTCCAGCTAATCAAAAGCATATTTTCAACATCTGAATGTTAAATGCGTGAGAAATAAAAATTCATTAGAATTTGTTTAATTGTTGATAATAGATCAGAAATAAATTCTAAAATTAAAGTAAATATATGCACACATTGAAGATAAATAAAAAGCAAAAATGCCTAAATTAGGCAATTTTAGACACTTTTAGAGTGTTTTAAGAGATCTCTTATCTTGTGTTTGATGCTTTTATATTGCACTTATCATGCTGCCTAGACAGAAAAAAGCATTTTCCTAAAAATCCAAACCTTATTCATTACATATACAGGGTTCCTAAGCACCTGGAAAATCAGGGATTTTCATTAGTGTTCGGAAAAAGTCAGGGAATTTGTCAAAAATTGTCAAAAAGTCAGGGAATTTGTCGAAAATTGTCAAAAAGTCAGGGAATTTGTCTCCTTAACTGCGTTGTTGATCTCGTTTGCTGAATATGGATGACCAATCATAGCCATCTGCAGGCGGCAAGAAGTAATGCTGCAATCTTTAATAAGAAAATACACCAGAATCCATTTTGAAATGGCTTTTTTTCACCGTTCTGAAGCCATATAATTTTACAGTTGTGGATTAATAACAGGATAAACTACTTCTATGTAATAGTGTTTAATTTTTAATTTTAATAATTCAACGATTTATAAAAAGATGAAATTGTTTATTAGAATAAAAAATAACCAATTAAAAATTTGTTTGCAAACTTTTAAAAGTTCAAATCATAATTTATTAGAATGTTCACTTCAAAATAGCTAAATAGATAAGTAAAAAATCTGTAATTTAATCGTTTTTCACGTTTAAAACATTACTACACAACGTAAAAAATTATAAATAGCTACCTGACATTTACAGTAAAATACTGGCGCTGACTTGTTGTTGGCACAAGCTTTTTATATTTGTTGTTACGATTTTCCTTGAAAGTACTGTACTGCAAGCATATTTTTCCCTCTCTTCTGTTTTTTTCTGCAACTTTGATACATAGTTTAATAATTAGTTTAACTGAAATGACGTTGGGTAACAAATATCACTGATTTTGGCAAATTTAGGGCTTAAAAACTGGAAAGATTGATCATATTTGTAATAAATATTCTGTAGTTATATTTTCGAAAATCAACAGGTAATCCGATAGTTTAACCAATGTTAACTTGCTTATAATTAAAATTTAAAAATTAAAAAGCTGTAAATTTAAAAAAAAATAATTACATTACTAAAAAATTAAAATAAATTTGATTATTTTTTGTGCGAAACAACACCAAAACAATTTTTATAGTTAGTTGCAAAAGAAAGAGATTTGTAGTTACGATTCTCTGCGCTGAACTTCTATATTTTAATAACGTATGATTGTAATTTTGTTTGATGTTTATTTCTGTATTTATTTTATTTTATAAGTTTTAAGAATCCCAATTTTCGTAATACTATGACATCATAGGAATACAATTGTGAGGTTCCGGAATTGTCCGGAACTAAAATAGAAAAACGTAAAATAATTTAATTATTAGAGAAAAAAGGAATGAACAGAAATTTTTTTAGAAACTTGAGGAATAGTCTAGACCTGTGTTTCTCAACCACCGATCTGCAACTCTAATTTGACCAGTCTGCGAAAACTTTAAAAATATATATTTAACCTGTCATGCATTGTTCCCGAATAGGAAATATGTGGATTATTAATCCGTTTATTGGTAGCAAACTAATAGATTGAATGACTTTGAACACAAAAAACTAATCGAATTAAGTCCAGACTTGGGATTTAAAACATTGTTTGAATCAATGCCCATAACACAGTTTTGGATTAAAGTTAAAACTGAATATCCAGTTTTACATGAAAATGCAGTTAGGATGTTACTACCTTTTTCAACAACGTATTTATGTGAATCAACGTTTTCAGCAATGGCAATGATAAAATCGAAACAACAAAATCATTATAGTGTTAGTTCCGCCTCACGCCTTGCAGTTACCACCTTAAATCCAAGAATTGATGATCTTACTAGCAAAAAAAGAAAAGTAGCGATTACATTGATTTGTATACTAATGTACTGGTAAATAAATAACAAATATTTATTGCTCAATGTAGTTTGCAGTTCTTTTTACAACAGAGAATCTTTTTCAATTAAAAATAATATTGTCACTGGTCCGCTTAAAAAAGCAGATATTTTTTGGTCTGTGATGGGTTTTGGGTTGAGAAACACTGGTCTAGACCATGCTTTCTCAAAGTGGGAGATAACGCCCCCTTCCGGTCACTGGAGGCTTTCATGGGGGCAGTAGAAGGCTCAGTGATTAAATATGAGTTTTATTTCTTCTCATTGAAACATTCTTTGATCTCAGAAATAGGATATGGGTCACACCCTATCTATCCTATCCATATAATAATGCATGTTTAAACATTATATTTGCAATAACTGTTTTTATGATATGCAACAGATAGTAATGTAAAAAGGTTAAGTTAAAAAATATGGGGGCACTAGATTTTTTTAATCTCAAAGTGGGCGGTGGTCGAAATAAGTTTGAGAACCTGTGGTCTAGACAATGCAGCTCCCAAGATCGATCATTTGGATTGGAGCAGATTTTCCATTGTTTGAAATGAAAATAAATACACTTGAAGAGAAAAGGCTAAAACTACATTAATATAATAGTTTTTGTGTTTTGTGAATTGTAATTCATTTTTTACTTTCTAATTATCTGTATTTTGAAAAAAGAGGATTAATACTAAGAAGTTTCTCTGCATTTTGATTGTCCATTTTGTAAAAAAATAAAAAGATTTTACAATAACTTAGATGCATTTGTTAGAGAAGCTATAGTATAAACTTACATCTATTCCTCTTTATGTACAATCATTGAATTTTTTACGTAGGAAAAATGTTTTATTTAAAAATTTTTAAATTTAACTTTTTGTTAAAATTACATTGCTGTTTAAAAAAAAGTTACTGTTTTTGTTGAAAGATTGGTTTTAAAATTACATGTTTCTAAGTCAAGAGTTAATTTTAAGCACAATTTGTTTATCAAAGATTACTGTTTTTTGATTTTATGTTACCTTGTATTTACTAGATTTACATATGAATGATAATGATAAATGATGATAAAATAAAAAGCTTGTGTTTTGTTTGTAAATTGCTTATTTTTTCATTACATTGAAGTTGTGGATTCTATCAAACATTTTTCTACAGGATGTATGTACTGTATTTTTTTAATGTAGCAGTCTTTGAAGCATATCAACTGTGCAGAAAGAGGGCTAGATGTACTCAATGTTCACAGTAAATGCTGTTTTATTATGTTGATATTCCACACTAAAAATGTGAGGGTCAGGGAATTTGGACAAAGTTGGTCAGGGAAAGTCAGGGAATTCAAAACAAAAATTTGAGTAGGAACCCTGCATATAATACTGTAACTCTGCCATGAGAAATTGATTATCTGATATTTGTTTATCGTGGCATGATTGAGGAACATGATTTATTTTTTATTAAAATATTATAATTAAAAATATCTAGAAAATTAATTGCTTTTTTTAAGGAAATTTATAAAATCGAATGGATTCTAAATCATAAAAAGATGTATTAAAATTTAAACTACAGTTGTAACATTTATAATTTGTTTGTTAGTCTTGATTTATTTTTTATTAGAAATAGTTTCTAATAAATATGACTAAAGACTGGATGGCCAAGTGAGTAAGGCAGCAGCCTGCTCTGAGGTCCCAGGATTGAATCTAGGTTGAAAAAACTCAGGAATTTTTTGGGAGTGGTCCATCTGGATATGTCAAACACCATCTCTCACCATCTAGCGGCCCATTGCAGGCCTGGCCAAACCCATAATGGGCTTTTTAAAAGATGACCATTTTACTTCTTACAGGGTGGAGAGGGTTTAAAACAAAACACAAACTATACAACAATTTCTATTAATATAATTCCAAATGATGTTCATATTACTTTCTATCCCAACTGCTGGATATTAACAATAAACATACAACAAAAACTGAAAAATGTAGCAAGAAACTGAAAATTTAATATGAAACAAATGTTTTTGATAGTTATAAAACACTATTACAAGTGGTAATAAGTTATCTTTATAATTAATCAGAGTTATTCCTGGATATATTATAAATTTCAAGCTTCTATAAGTGCCTGATATGAGGTTGATCTGTTGAAAAACATATTAAATGTGCTTGAACAAGCTTGTGTATGTAACTAGTATATGTAACTAATTGTATATTATATAACTAATGCAAAGGTGGCTAATGCTGTCATAGCCTGTCTTTTTTCTAATCAATGTAAGGTGCTCCTGTAGATGGTGTAATAGTCTTGTGGTGGCTCTAATATATTGTTGCTGTTTATCTTACTGTCTGATACAGTTGTACAGAGTATACACACAAAATATTACTCTTGTTTTTGAGTAAAGTATACATAGCAGAACTTTTCATGTAAGCTAAAGTTATGTTGTTAATCATGGCAATCTCCTTGCAGTTTTATGTCAAAATTTACTAAATTAAATTTTGTTTCATTATTTGTAATATTTTATATTTGAATGTCGGTTCTGACCTGACAATGGTGGATCAGAGCTGAAATTTAAAACTACAAAACCATTTGTTTCAGATTAAATTTTCAGTTTTTTTGCTGGATTTCTCAGTTTTTGTTGTTTGTTTATTACTTATACTGTTTCATATTCATCCTAATAATCTATGAATGATTACTTTTCAGGCTTATTTTAGTTCCACCTTACAATGCACCAATTACTTTTTGGGACGTGCTATGGATCGTAACAGTGACTGACTTTGTTCTTAAACTTCTGGCAATTCTATTAAAAGCCATTGTTGTTGCACTTCCAGCTAAATTGTTAACTTTCCAGAAAAAAGTGAGCTTATGAAAATTATCAATTAAAAATTTTTACTCAATAAAATTGCTGCATTCAGTTTCTAGTGTATTTTTGATATTTATTTATTTATAAAACTAATAATCAGTTTTTAAATAATGCATTTTACTGTTTACTTATTAGATTTTATATTAAATATCAATATAATGTATTATTTTTACAGGGGAGACATTATCTATTGTTGGAAACCACTTCTCAGTTCTATCGTACAATAGCACCTATGCAACATTGGTTGTACTTCTTTTCTGAATCTTACATTGGTTCCAGTAAAGTATTTGGAGTCATTTTATCTGCAATATATTTAGTATTAAAGGTATGAGAAATAATTTGTAATGATTGTAGAAAATAATAATAATAAATTATTTGTTTCTGAATTTAGTATAAAGATGTTATCAGAAAATTCAGAGCTTGGAAAAAATCATTTTATGGAATACTTCAAAATGTGGTAAAAATATTTTGTGTATGGATTGTTTTAAAAGTAATTTTTATAAAGATTTTATGCATCTTATTATTTTTTAAAATAAGACATATGGTGTGGTTCCATCTTCTGATCAGTTGAAAGCAGCTGGAGAATCATGTCCTATTTGCCAAGATGTCTATAGAACTCCAACAATGTTACAGTGTAGGGTAAGTCTTTAGAGTAAAAAACATTTCATAATTAATATTTTTGATTATTTGAAAGAACAAAAATATATACTTAAATGAATCAAAATTAATAGATAAGAATGTTGATTTACGATGATAATTGAATAAAACAGAACTTGTCCAATTGAAAAAAGAATAGGATTTCTTTCTTTTTTGGTATGAAGAACACAATAGAACTGGAATAAAGTGGAAATTTAAAATTTTACTTTCAGACAAGTAAAATCATTTCCAGGTATAAGTCAATGCAGAGCACGGAAGACTATTCCAAAAATGATTTTGAATCTTGTCAGAGAGATGAAGTTTGCATGACAAGGAAGCATACAGATACTGTTAATATTAATCATTGCTGGAATTAACTAGAACAAAATCAAATATCTTTAAGAATTGAGAGTTTTCAAGAAATAAAACAAGTTTCCAAGAATTGAGTTCTTGAGAACAAACAGTAATGCAATTTGTGAAAACAATGTGAATAAAGTAATACAGTGCTGCAAGTTTGCTTGTCATGGAGTAGTAACTAACTAGTATTGAGTATCTGAGAACAAGTTGATTACCATGTTCTTAATTACAGAGACTGAAGACAAGGAGACACTATGGCTTTGGGGAAACGGATTTTGATGATCTTTGGTGTAGAGGTAGTACACCATGTGAGTGTACTACCTGTAAAATACTAAAGTGCAACACTCAAATATAATCAAGAAAAACAAACTTAAAGTTTTCTTTAACACTTTATATATAAGTTACGTGTACTTCTGCTTGAGCGTGCTGTGGCGTGAGTGGTAATGCTCCTGACTTGTACACTTGCACGCTCAGGTTCAATTCTCTTGTTGTTTGTATTTTTTCCCCCTTTTTTTTATTCATAAATACTTATAATGTATTTATTTATTTACTCATTCATTTATTTTAATTTAATTNGACAAAGTGGTCATACGTCCAAGAATCAATGAAATGATATTTATCAAAAATAGTTCCACCACGTTCAACATCTTTTTCCCATAATTTTAAATGCTCCATTCTTTTCAAATGACTACATCCATTTTTTTGTAATGTTAGTAGTTTCCACGTAGAGTGGGCTTTTGCTAGTTTTAAAACTTTGATTTTATATTCCACTGAAATATTCCTTCATTCTATATTTTTTTTCATCAGGTACATAGTCATCAGATGAGTCATCTTTAACTGCTTTGAAATTTCCTTCTGTACACTCTTCTTGGGCATAAATTAATTCGTCATCAATTATAAAGTTTTTCATTCAACACATCCAATGTATTATTGTATAATTCTGTGCCTATCAGCAAAGCGTCTTCAGATTTTGTATCAGAAGATGTTGTTGCAATTAAATTATTTTCGAAAAGTAAACTCTCATAATACACTACTCCATCTTTTAGCTGCTGCTTCGATACATCACTGTATAAAGAGTTATCATCAACAGTTTTTTTGTCACAACGTAAAGAACTTGCTTCTCTTGATGACATTTTTTTAATTATAAAATAATTTTTCAAAACAAATTTCACTGCATGAATACGGCTATTTGTGTCGAAATTCAGAAATGAACTGTTAAAGAGTGAGTGAAAAAGACTATAGACCCATGTTCAAAGCCAGTATAAGTAGCTCCCTCTCAACTTGACAAAGGTGAGTTTTCAAAGTAAAAATATTAGACTTGGAATAGTAGAAATTAAATTAAAATAAATAAATAATAATAAAATACCAAAAAAAATCAATAAATAATAAGAAATAAATGAATGAGTAAATAAATAAATACATTATAAGTATTTATGAATAAAAAAAAAAGGAAAAAAGTATACACAACAAGAGAATCGAACCCGAGCGCGCAAGCATATGAGTCAGGAGCATTACTTCTCATGCCACAGCACACTCAAGCGGAAATACACATCATAACTTATATATAAAGTGCTAAAGAAAACTTTAAGTTCATTTTTCTTGATTATACTTGAGTGTTGCAATTTACACCTCTACACCAAAGATCATCAAAATCCGTTTCCCCAAAGCCGTGTTAGATTATTACAATTTATTGAGAACTCAGATTATAGAATATCTTTGTCTCTGAATTATCATAATGTGGTTCCAAATGCAATTGAAACAGTAATTCTTGTTACACAAATCGTTTTGTTGTCATGTAATCTTGTAAGGATTGCATCTGAGAAGTACTTGAATACCTGGCACAAATTCTTGACGACAATGAAAACTTTTGCAGTTAAATAGTTCTCAATTCTTGCATTTGAATACTTCCATCTTTAATTTGAAACATTTTCGATTAAAAGTAGTAATAAAATTTTTAAAATGCATGTTGAAGTGATTTTACTATAAAAAAGTGGATACAGGGTGTGGCACCAAAATCCGGACAAATTACATATTTTTTTCAAACATATTTTTTATTGCGAAAAGGTTTACAAATTTTTTTAACCACATTATTTGTAATGCCATAAAGAATACATATATCCTGCTCCTGCTTGAATGACTGCCTCCATTCTTGGTCTAAAGCATGCGCAGGTGCCCTTTAATGTGTCGTGGTCCATATCGGCAAATTCCGCATCAATAGTGGCTTTCAATGATGTGAGGTTTGGATGTCTGGATTTGTTCGTGACCCTTTCAACTATACTCCATACATAGAAGTCCAAAGGATTCAAATTTGCGCTGTTGGGAGGACCAAATTCTTTCGGTCAAAACATGTTGATGATGTCCGACAACCAATTTTGCACCAAATGTGACTCACTTTAATTGTATAAGACCTGTAGCAAAGGTCCTCCTTGATGATTCTACACAGTTTTCTTGCTCACACCAACAATTGACAACAATTTTAAGATCGACTGACCTGGATCCTCAAAAATCAGCTCCTGAGCCTGTTGAATGATTTCGGACATCCTGACAATGCGCTCCTTCAAGTGAGTTTTCCTTGCTGGTGTTGTAAAACCTTCATTGGATTTTTCTGATTCATTGTACTTTGCGATAACATCATATACAGTCGATCTCAGGTACCCGAAGAACCAAATGATTTCTGTTGCCGAGTGCCCAGTGTGAACACTTTCAATAATCGCAGCTCTTTGGTTATATTCCACACTTGGTTTCAACATTGTGACTGTTTCAAGGTTATGATAATTTAGTACAGTACATGTGTCAAGATATTTGAACCCCAAACACAACATCTACTGGTGGTATAGAATGGCAGGAATTTGAAATTGTATTTTGTCCGGATTTTGGTGCCGCACCATGTAATGGATAGATTACAATTATTTGCTTTTCATCCTATATTGCAATAAATCTTCCCATTAGCTATATGTAATTTTCTATAAATTTTATGGACATATCATACTACAGTTTTCAATTGGAAACCTCACTGATATTTTAATTAAACCAATATGTACATTTCAGTTATTCAGAATACTGAATTGTAACCATCTTCAGTTGGTTACAATTCAGGTATTTTTGTATTTTCCAATTTGTATATTTAACATTAAATTTTAATTTTTAATTCACAATCTGTTTCATCATCCTAGTTTTTCTGACATGTAAATATCTATTCCAGTATTTTTCAATTTACACTTAACATTAAGTTTCAATTCACACTTGACATCCTTGAATGCTTAGTATGAATTTAATAAAATTTCAGAGAACTTTCCAATTGAAAACTGGTGTTGTTTATCCATAAAATTAATAGCAAATTACATATAACTATTGGGAAGATTTATAATGGAAAGATTTCTGTAATATGATTAAATATTAAATATGAATAAAGCCTAAACTCTACACTTAGAAACGAAAGAGAGGTTTTTCGGCTTTTATAATGGAAAGATTTGTTTAATATAATTAATTTTAATTGGTCACCAAAAGTAAATTAACTTTTTACTTTAATTAAATTGTTAAAAGCAAAATTTTAAAACTAAATTTAAAAAATCATGATTATTTTTTGAAAATTATATTTTTTGTCCTACTACAGTCCATTTCAAAATTATAAACACACCCAACTTTTTCAATAACAAAAAACATTAACAATAGTAATGTATTTATTATATTAGTATGTTGTTTACAACATCAATTTAAACATTTTCTGAAATTTTTAGAGCTATCTGACAATTACAAATAAAAATTATCACAGATTTTCAATTTTTGATTCTTTCAAAGTATAAGCACGGGTGAATAAAATTAGTATGATTATTTTTTTTTATTAATTATTGGTTTAATTAGTTGTCACCAGATGGTAGTATCATTCATTATTACAAATGTGGCACCAATTTTAAACAGTTTTTTGTGATTTAAAACAATGCCTCATGGAAAAACACTAACAGAGTTGGAAATACGTGAAATTTACCAACTAAAATAAGCAGGACAATCTCTAAGACAAATTTTGGCAGCTGTAAATCAATCTACATGTGCTGTGAGAAATGTGTTAACTTGGTGAAAATTATAGCAGAAATAAGCAACATAGAAAGCCTAAACTCCTTATACTTAGAAACAAAAGAAAGGTTTTTCAGCTACTGGTGGTCAACAAGTTGTCTGTCAGATAATCAGCATCAACATTGCCAACTACAGTTTTACCAGCAATTGTATGCAAAATCATAAAAATACCAAATTTACAAAAACGGCTGGCAAACCGAAATGAACACAATTGCATAAAACAGTTAGATTAAAGTAAGCCAAAGACAAGTTGGCATGGAAAGAGTGGAAACAAATAGTCTTTTCAGATGGGATGGACCTGACAGTTATAGTCACTACTGGCATGATTTGAGGAAGAAAAAAGTCAGAATGAACAGACAGTAAGGTGGGGGCAGGATTTGGATGGGGGTAAAACATACATAGTACAGTAAGACCCCACTTAACGCGGTGGATGTGTTTCTAGACAACAAAGTGCTAAGCGAAACAGTGTTAAATGAGATCATTTTAACATAGATTAAATAGGGATAGGAGAACACGCAATTAAAAATAAACAAATTTTACTTTACTTTTAAGTTATTTTTATATTAATTTGTATAATTATATATGTTAAATAACACACAAACATATGAACACAGAAATGTATAATAATATATTAATTAGTTCATTTTTTCTGTATTAATAGTTCATTTTTTGTGACGAAGGTCCTGACTTTATTGCAAAAAAACAAGAATTTCAGAAAAGTTGTGATGTTTCATTTGTTGATTTTTCTTTCCTTAAGCAAATGTCAGTAGCAGAAAATGCATCCAAAATGCCTTGTTTTGCTTTTGCACTCCTTTCAAAATCAAGATCATTTGCTACAATTTGATTAACGATTTTGGTTATTGTTACCAAACTTTTACTAAGGAAACCTGTAGAGAAATTTTTTGGGTTCTTCATTTTCAGAATCACTATTTTCCAGTTCTACATGGATTCCTTGTTCTGCCAGTTCTTGAAGGTCATCATTGATAAGATTCTCACCAGAAACTTGCTGTAACTCCTCAATATCCTGTTTGTCTACATTTCCTAGCCTGTTGTATCAATTAGGTTGAGTTTGGTCAATCTGACGATAGTGCTCTTCTAACGATAGGCTCTTCTCGTTGAGAATTCTTGGATACCTTCAGCATAACTTCTTCCACATTTCCTCCATGCATTTATCAGTTAATTCTTGCCAAGCGTAGCTGATATTGACTATGACATCCATGATCAATGTTCCCTCAAATTTTTTTTGTCGATGAGCAGAACATTACTTTTCTAAGCAAAAAAAAATTTTTTGCAGATTCTGAGCAAAAAATTTTTCTGAACATATATATATATATATATATATAAGACAATGAACGTACAAGTGGACAGCTATGAAGAACAAAAGCGCAATTGCAATCAATAATTCTTTTTCTTTTTCCGGTTATGGT